TTAGGGTCTTGCTTCCTATGTATATCACATAAGCAGAAATGGTTAAACTGTTCTTTTATTGAACTCCAGAGCCAAACTTGGTGTCATATCATAAATATCACATGAAAGACATGCCTCGATACAGTCTCAGTGGCAAAATGTGGCAGATGGCAGGATAACTGAAGTCAATGTCTCTTAGAAAGATGTAAACAAGTTTGATTTGGGGGCTGTGTACATTATCCCAGGATCTAAGAAAGTGATGACTTCCAAGGAAAAAGAGCTTTTTGACAGTGGCAATATGAATATAATCTTGAGAAACCTTTGTAATATTGGGTTGTTGGGAAAGTCATGATATATTTTTACACAGAAAAACATGTCATGACTTTCTCAACAACTTAATAATTCTATACTCTCTCAGGTATTTTAATGTATTTTTTAAAAATTATATGTACATGTAAATACATGTTAACGTGCTAGGTGGGTGGAACGATGGCAAAAGGAAGACAGACAATTCCATAGGTTTGGAATTTTGTTGGGTAAGTCTGGGATGGGGGTGAGACCCCTGAAACAGATATAAATATGACCAAGTCTTATACTTGATCAAAATCAAGTGCTAGGGAAATCTTACTAGAGAAATCTAATATTAGAGCTCTACAGATTTCAGGTGAGGGATAATACTATAGATGTCCTCCTGGAATTGGCAATTGGGAAAGAAATGTATCACTGGGACTATTCATAATAGAACTTGAGACACCAGAGTCCCAACTCTCAGAAGAATCAGCCCTACAGAACCTTTGGCAAAGTACTTAGAATTCCAGGGAGTCTAAACGTTAACCAAAAAAAAAAAAAAAAAAAAAAAGTATTTTTTGGTAGACTGGAAACTAAAATGAGCTATTACACTGATAATTACAATAAAAGATATCAGTTATTCTATCTGTAATAAACACTCAATTTTCATTAGTATCAGTGCAAGAAGAAACTAGCAACTGATCAAAGAAACATTAAGGTGGTAGAAAGACATTCATTAAAAAGTAACTTATACTGGTCTCATATAAACTTAGTATCAACTAAGAAAGTCATTTCTATGATTACAATCTAAGTAAAAATGAACAAAATGAACTTATTTGGTTAGTCTCCATCTTCTTTATTGCTGTGGTATAATTTGTCACTAGTTGCCTCTGGCTGGCTTCAGAGGTTTGTCTAGCGCTTATTTCCTTTATACACTGTCTCAAAAATAGGTATTTCCTAAAACAGTATTGGAGGTTTCCTAAAACAGTATTAGAGAGCTCTTACTTGAGATTGTTGCAAAGATTAACCTTAATGTTGGCCAGAGTCTAATCTTGTCTGGATTTGGCTCAATGATGTCACAACAGCTGTGTTTATAAGAAAGATCAAAGTTTTGTGTTTAACCACCATTAGAAGCAAAGATACTAGCAAAGATACATTTATTGTCTTTTAATACAAAGAAATAGATGTTCAACTCAATCTACCATTAAAAACAACAGTAGGTAGAAATGGATATTTCATACATCTTTAAATCTATTGGGTTACTCAAATTGTTTGCAAATGCTGAGAAAGCCGGTGGTCTCACCTTTACTTACCTTTGTTCTGATGGATTTTATAAGCTTACATTAAATGTTATAAATCCCAAGGTATTCTGTTAAAAATTAGTTAAGAAGGCAATACTATGTAAAAAAGACATAGGCTAAACAGAAATGAATGGACCCAAGGAAATTTCCAGGCAAATGACACTTGATCCTACATAAGAGTAACAACTGTTTTTACTAGGGCAGTTCAAAGAACAGCTGAAAAGTCAGAAAGTAGATTAAATCTTTAATTTTCCATGAAGTCTGTATCAATGCATGCATAAGACATTGCTATGCTGAGTCCGAGTAATTGATATATCATAAAATGTGTCTTTTTTTCTTGCTCTAAAGTTAAATCCTGAAAGCTAACATCCTAATTATTTCATTATGTTAGCTGTGCTTGGGTAACATATGATTGTTATAAGTTAAAATAATGTTATAGTAAAAAACTTTCTACATGTTTTAAAGGACATTATTTCTTTAAGTGTGTAATTAGAAACGAATGTTAGGCTGTTTTGAAATTCTTTTTAAATGCCTGTTAAAACAAATGTTTTTGAATCAACAAGGTGTTAAGATTAAAGAAACAGAGTGTTCTCTCCTGTCCTTGTTACTGAGCACACAGACAGCTTGATAAAGATATATTAGAACAGACTGATGCTTCAAGGACTTGATTAAGCTCTCATGAGGAATATGTGGAAACACAACATCATAATGGTCATTTTTACTTTGCAGATTTTATTTGGGCTCAGAACTAAGGCCCTTACCAGTATGATAAAGTGGAGTTACATTGAAATCTACTTTTTGTGCCGAAGAAAAAGAAATGACAATAGTTTGGGGCAACTACAATTTTTCTCCTTAGAACTATTAAAATTAAATTGGGCACACTATCATCTCTTAACTTCCCAATCAGTATTCCTGGGATAAAGTCAGATTTTGGACAACTGCAGAAAAACAGACACAAATGTGCAAACCAGATTTCAGTTTCTTCTCCACTGACATGAGATTTAAAACAGCAACAGGAACATTTCTAGGTCAGTGTCAATATGCAGTCACAAATTACCAAAGAAAGAAACAAACTGGAGTGCATGGGTGTGTGATTTTGTGTCTTGGCATGGGAGAGACACTGAAATATTCACAATGTACAAGCCAAATCATAAAAATAAAATGGGACTTATCCCATCATTTTGAAACAGTAGGATTTAGCACTGACATTTAGCAGATTTGTGATATCCTGACTTGGTTCAACAATCCTAAATAATACAAGTTGCGGAACATAAGTACAACTTTTTTTTTCTTTCCACAATGTTTGCAAATGAAGCAATCCTGAGGAAAACTTAATTTCAACAGAAGAAAAATCCTCTCAGACATATTTATATACAAACATGGAAAAACTAAAACTGGGACACACGGACAATATTAGGTCTCATGTTATTTATCAGGAATGAGAAGTGATGACCAATAAATTACTCCCCATAAACATTTCCTCTTGTCTTAGTCTAACTTAAACATATTTCAAAGAACAAGCTTTAGTAAGGAAGAATATTATATCATTTCAAAGTCTAACTGAGCATAATAGAGTGAAACTGTAGAAGTTGGAAAATGGTCCTGTAGCCTATATGTAAGATCCAAAGGAAAAAAAGAGATTAAATTTCTTAACATTTACTGCATTCCATTCCTGAAACTAAGAGGTAAAGGCATCTTTCACATTTCTTGAGACTGTCTTATCTTATAATCACTATGCTAATTTACAGATGCAACCACCACTCTGTTTCCTTTGAGGATAACACTTTCTGCCTCTTTTTGGCACAATAGTATTGACACGACCACCACAAGTGATTTTTTCCTAAAACAACATCTCCTAATAACAGCAGTTCTATTGGGTAGATACATTTTGTATGTTAAAAAAGACCTTACTCCAGAGAATCCATTTCCTAAATTCTTAATCTGCAGCAAACTCAACTTCCCAATTTCCATCCCTAAACACAACCTACTCAATTTCTACATCAAATATTCTAAATGTAAGACAATAATTTTGAAATACATTGGCCCAAGAGACCAACAGTTAGCATAATGGCTATGTCGCTGAACTCCCATGTAGCCGAACGTGGTTCAAATCCCGAACCCAGTGGCTTTAACTCACGCTGGGTGCGTGTGGGTGTGTGCCCAAGATCCCGAGAGGAGAATGGAGGAGAAGGGATTGCGGCATGACCATCCCCCCTGGGGGGTGATTTCTCGCTTTCTGCTTCTCTCTGTCTTTCTGGGGAGCTCACGTGTCCTATAGAAAAAACCTCTCCAAAAAAATAAAAAATAAAAAAGAAATACATTGGCCCAAAGGATGGCCTTCTTAATTTTTGGATAGATCCTGAAATTACGACTCTTTCAAGTCATTGTTGATGGTTTTCCTTTGGCTTATTCTGATATTTTCAGGGATAGCTGTCCCATCCATCACAAAGACTGTTAAAGAGAACCATGTCAAGATTCCCTGCTCTTTGTAAGTTCAAAATCTTATAAAGGGGCAAAATAAATTATATTATTTAGTAATGATACCTTACTATATTAAATAACTGACATAGAAATTGGTATTTAATTTTTATCTGTACTTTAAAGCAGGTAATAGTTTGCATTAAACAACTACATGATTATAAAATCTCAATAAATTCTTTTTTTTTCTTAATTATCTGCAACATTTTTCTATCTCTTAAAGATTGTTTTTGAGGAGGACCAGCAGTTGGTGATTTCTCACTTTTTGACTCTCTGGCAAGTGCACATGTTCTATAGCAAAAATCTCTTTTTTCTTTACTTCATAAGATATTTATAAGACACCATAAGAAAACTTGAGTAAATAAAACTTTACTGGCATTATTAATTAAAAATCTCGAAATCTTCAAAAATAAGAATGACGTATCTCTGAAATCAATAATATCTACAAATCTGAGTTGTGTGACAGACACATGATAGGTATTTTCATTTGTTTTTATGTAGCCTTCACAGCGATTCCACGAGACAGTGATTTCAATCTACATTTTATAAGAGGAAACAAAGCTTCAGAGGGATAGTAACTTGCAGGAACACAGTTTGTAGAAATTCATTTAACTGTAGCTGAATGACAACCAGAACCATCTTACAAATCTGTCTGCATCACCATGTGTCACAAAGACAAGACAAGACTGTATTACAATGCCAATTTTTTTTTTTAAGAGGTTTTTGCTATAGGGTGCGTGTGCTCGCCAGGAAGACAGAGAGATACAGAGAGACAGAAAGCAAGAAATCCCCCCCTCTCCCCCCCCAGGGAGGATGGCCACACTGCAATCTTTTCTCCTCCATTCTCCTCTCGGGATCTTGGGCATACAAGCACACATGCCTGGCATTGGGTTAAGCCACCGGGTCTGGGACTCAAACTCTTGTCTACTACATGGGAGTCCAGTGACATAGCCATTACGCCAACAGCTGGTCCCTTACAATGTTGATTTTAATTATCTTGGAGAAGGTGAACATAGTTCTGTTGTGACTAGATGCGTAGCCCCCAAACTTTAAAATTTCTTCGTAAGAATGGTGAAAATCCATACAAGAAGGAGGCTGTTAAAAGGTTTATCCTATATATAATTTTTTGAAGGTAAGCTTTATCCTATACACCAGATGTGCTAGTCCAAAGAAATTTGAATATAGTAAACAGGGTTGAGTGAGGTTGAGCGATACAAGCAGGCACATTTTTAAGAAACTGTGAATTACTTTTTTATATTTAATTGAATAATCCTTTATAATTACTAAGGAAGTTACAACACCCATACACAAAGGGATGGCTAACACAAATGTATACATATACATTTAACTATTTCCTAAGTATACTAAGAGATCTTTTACTCCTTTTGTAAATGTTTGTGTTCCTGAGAATTAGGAAAATAGCTCATACTCAAAGTATAAAAGAAAGAATACTTTTTGAATAATTTCTTGATAAAGTTAAAAGCATGATTTTCCTCTAGATATCTCTTCTCTGGAGCTGAGTTGCTCAGTCAATAATAGTCTTACAAGGTGATACACACACACACACAGAGAGAGAGAGAGAGAGAGAGAGAGAGAGAACAAGGGAGGGAAAGTTTTCAAACCATCTATATTTTATTTAACAAAAGCAACAGAGACATTTCTAGAGTTTACAGTATATTTGATATAAAAATAAGACAGTCTCCAAAATGTGTATGAAAAATAGAAAGCTTACAAATCTAAGGTACAGAAAATTTATTTCACACTTCAGTCACCCAAAACAGTAGCTTGTGGTCTCCTCCAATTGCACACAGTGGGAGAGTTCTATGCCAGGAAAGGCCAGATCCAACAGTTACAGAACCAGTGAGGATGGGCTGTAAAATATTTGAAGAATTAAAGAAGCACAATAAATCCCCCAAAGTTAACAAATACAAACTATGCTTCTTTTTAAAAAAATGCATTGATAAATTATCTTTGAGTATAGCAGAAACATTTAAAAATATGTCTCCTCAGGGGTGAAATACACGTTATTTATTTATAGCTGGTTGTAATGAAGGACACAATACATCAATGAAAACTGATAAATCCCAGACTTGAACATTTTTGCAGTCTGTACCAGTCAAGCAAGCAAAATTAAGCTGGTATCTTTAAATGAAGGAGAAGATAGCAATGGAATATATATTGGCAAATAAATCATTTGTGCCACTGATGATTTAAACATCAAAAAATGCCTCCCATTTCAATTTAAGCAAAACACATAAATATCTTTAGTTACCAAATAGAAATCAAGGGACCATGGTGGAAAAGTTGAAAACACAACTTATAAAAACAGCTATGTCACAAAACATTTCTGTATTACCTGAGTGTGTCCTAAATGATGAATCTGAAACTGGCTTGTCATCTTTCCGGGATAACCAGTGGTTGCAAACAGATTTTCATTAACTGTAGACCACCTGAGAAATAAGGTTGCAGTATGATAAGTACAATACCCTTTAGAAAACTCTAAGCTTTTTGAAATAGGCTATTTCTTAAAAGCAGTAATTTGATAATCCCAAATTTCTTAATCTAAAGGGACTTAAAACAGGTAGTGGGAAATGGAATTAAAACATGAGTTTCTTTTGGTACCAAAAAAATTAAATCCATGCACAGTTTTTTCATGATAAACGCTTTCCATGAACTTTTTGAAGGCCCCTTCTATGGTTTCACAATTAAGACAGGGAATTCCAGTATAGCTATAAATATTTTATCACTCTGTGAATATTTATTAAGTGCTTAGTTGGGACTTTGTTAAGTTTCAAAGTTACATAAAGTTAACATCATCCCTTTCGTCTTTTTTACAACCAAAGGGCTAACTGCAATGAGCAACAGATATAAACTATTTCACAGAACGTTTAACAAACACCTTTAATGTTCTTATGCCATTTCTTATGAGTGAAAAACTCATGTGTTTAAATCCCTTGGGATGACATAAATACCCAGACTATTTAAATATTTAAGCTTCAGGGCATCCTGGACATTACAGTTTGACAAGTCAGCTAATGTTAATAGAAATGTAATAACATGCCTAAATGCTGTGGAGAAGACATAAGAAAGAAGGATTCCTTGACCAAAAATACTCGTCTAGTGATATTTTAGAGTGGCAATCATTACTGGTTGTCTGACAGCCGTTATGTCCTTTTTCATGCTAACTGAAATCCAACTTTATTCTGGCAATGTGTGTCCAAATCCAGGAGAGGAGACAGAATTGTTTTAAGGCAGTTATCACAATCCTTTATAAAAGAAGCTGCTCCCTGCTCTCCTTTTACTTCAGGCAGTGTGGTTATAAGCTATGATCCCTGGAAATCTATGTCCGTGAAGCAACAAGCCCAAAGCCTGGCCACTGGGGATTGTAGAGTAGAAGGATGAAAAGAGCCTGAGTACTTGAAGACATTAATGAGTTGCTAAACTAAGCCTGACACTTCCTCCTCCAGACATTTTAAGGCTAGATTTCACTAAGTTTAAAATGTATATTTGCTCACATTTCTGAAATCAGGATGTATCTTATAATCAACCATACTCTTACATTTAGTTGAATATATTTTATTCTTTTTTTCTTATAACTTTTAATTTTATGTATTTTTTAAATAGCCAGAGGGCATATGCACTCACCAGAAAAGGAAAGACAGAGAGATAGTGGGAAAGTACCTCCCAATAAAGTGTTGTCACATGGCAATCCCTCTTCCTCCATTTTCCCATCCAGTCATTTGCGGCATGCACAGAATGCACCAGGTGTTTTTCAAGCTGCTGGTGCTGGGATTCAAACTGTGGTCAGCCATGTGGGATCCATCCCCCTTACCCTCTAGGCCATGGGGCCAGTCCAAGTATATTTTGTTCTTAATAATGGTGTCCCCAGACCTACAATTTTATTGAGGACATTTTAAATTGGATGAAATATAGCTGATAATGTTTCACTAGTTCTAGTATCTGTTATAAGGTTTCTCTGTTAAAGTTGAAAGCAGCTTAATGACTACAGTACAAAATGGAATATTAGGAAAAAATGAATTAAAAGACCCAGGGAGGACATGTAGGCATGTCACACACACACAATCTAGTTTGTTGTCATTTAAAGCACAATTTACACTATGTAGAAACCTGAGTTCACCTACATTCCCATCTTTATTAACATAGCACAATAAGGAAGCATATTATATTCTACACTGTTGGGGTAGTACTAGTGGAAGTGACAACATTTTTTTTTTGTGCTATACAATTTTTCAAAGAAAATATTTGAAAACAAATCAATTTTGCCTAAACTCAAACAAAATCAAAGACAGTTGGAAAAGCAAAATGGTTTCTTATAAAATGACAATAACAATAACAATAATAATAATAAATCTAGTACAAAGGGGAAGACAGGAAAAATATCCAGGGTACCTTGACACAAAGTCAAAAAATCAAATTTGGCTGACCATGCTGTCTGAGTCCTAGATCTAGTGGCTTGAGAAACATACTGGTACATGTGCATACATGCCCCAAATCCTAAGGGCAGGGAGAAATGGAGGAGAAAGGACTATAGCATGACCACCCCCCTGGGAGGTGCTTTCTCAATTTCCCCCTCTGTCTCTCAAGTGAGTACATGCACTCTTTGGCAAAATTAAGGAAAAAAAAAAGTCTTATCACAAATAAGAATGATGTATTACCTGAATAAGTAGGCTCGATCCATGTGAACAGGTCTCTTATCTTGAGGATAACTAAAAGATAATATTTTGCATTTTATGTGCCATATGCTAGGTTCAATGGATGAACTTAAATTAAGATTTAAAAGTTTTTTTTTTCTTTCAGTACAGAATGTTCAATATACTTAAACTGTAACAAAATACCCAGTAAGTACTCAGTTAAAATAGACAAAATACGTTTAAAGATATGACCTAGAATCACCGTAAACCATCACCATTCAACAAGGTCAGTGTTTTTCTTCTTTTCTAACATACATAAACACTGTTCAGATAAAAAAAATTTCCTCTTTGACATTTCTTTCTAGGTTATTTCCGAAATAAATCAGCAAGGCAAGATTATGTTAATAAAAACCCATACCTCTGACTCTTCTACAGGAGATACTTGTTTTTGCTTCACAGTAAGGCCCAGGTATACAAGGGTGGCCCAACGAATCACTTAACAATACTTGCAGATTTTTTCTAAGTTATAGACAAATATACTAAGAAAGTACCTGGACCGAGTAATATCCCAAATTAACCAATCATTTCCGGCAACGGCTCCAACTTTGAAGGTGTTTTTCAAGCACCAATGTGCTGACATTAGTGGCACCTGTTCTGATTCAAGAGACAAAATAGCCTGTTGGGCCAAAAGATCATAAAACCGGATTGTTCCATTTTTCTCTGCAACCATCAGCTGTAAAAGAAAAATGAAATGAAATGAAACTACTTAATTCACTGGCTACGTCTAAGAAATAGCAGAGATTCAGTGATATACAGTACAATGTAAACATCTCCATTTATTACAAATAGAAGATCAGATGCAAAGAAATTAAGAGAAGGCTGTGTAAAAATCTTTATAAAATATAAAAATCCTTAGGGAAAACTGGCAAAAGACAAGACTCAAGAAAGTTAGATAAGGGGACCAGAGATAGGCACAGAAGTAACAGTGACTGAGAGGCATTCCTTTCAGGTTCAAGTCTGGGAACCTCTTGAATATACCAGGTATACATTTACTTATGACCCTATTGAGGTCATGAATGAAATCAGTAACTTATGAAAAATGTTCTTTAAATCCTGGCTATATTAAGGTGAAAACACCCCTGAAGGTATGCAGTAGTAGTGGTAGACCGAAAAAATACGTTGGAGTTGGCATCCAAAATCCTGGACTTTACCACTTAATCTGTCAAGTGACCTGGAGTTTGTTTTTTAATCTGTAAAATGGGTGATAATTGTATCAGACTACAAAAGTTACCATATGGCTAAAATGTGACTGTACTTCAGGAAAGTACAAAAGTACTTGGGATTTTTGGACTTTTTTTTTATATGGAGAGATTTTTGCTATAGGGTGCGTGCGCTTAGCAGAAAGCCAGAGAGAGACAGAGAGACAGAGTGTGAGAAATCATTCCCCAGGGGGATGGCCATGCCGTAATCCCTACTCCTCCATTCTCCTCTTGGGAACTTGGGCACACATGCACACGCATGAGTTTAAGCTACTGGGTCTGGGACTTGAAATGTCGTCAACTACATGGGAGTTCAGCGACATAGGTGTTACGCCAACTGCTGGTTTCAGGATTTTTGGACTTCTTTATAGAGGAGACAGAGTTAAAAAACTATTCTTTAAGAACAGACAAACGTTTAACACTAAAACTACTAACAACTATGGTGAGGTCAAATGAGTTAAAAAACTATTCTTTAAGAACAGACAAATGTTTAACACTAAAACTACTAACAACTACGGTGAGGTCAATTACAAAATATAGAATAAGAAGAACAACACTGAGGTAAAAGCTTTGCATATCCTGCTTTTAATTCTCAAAACTCCTCTATGAGGAAATTACTCTCATTTCCCAGATGAGGAGACTGAGGCTTGGAGAGATGGAATTCATTTGTTCAAGGTTTTACCCAAGCCCATGACAAAGTCTGAATTTTAACCAAGGTCTACCTAACTACAGAGTACATACATTTCTTATTTTAAGTGTAGCTTGCTGAAGACTAGTGAGTGGTCTGGTGCACTGGTTCCAGTCCTGAACTGGTGGCTGTGCCTGTGTGCCTAAATCCCAAGAGCATGGAGAAGAGATTATGGTACAAACATCTCCCAGGAGGTGCTTTCTCACTTTCTCCCTCTCTTTCTGTCACTCTCCAGAGAGGACATGTGCCCTATGGCAAATATAAAAAAAGAAAAAAGATAACCTTGAAAAAAGATACTACTGCTAGACTGGGTATTAGGTTTTAGACAATAGCCTATCAAAGGTCAGGAAAAGTATACTCTGAATAAATGTAATTTATGGATGATAGTTGCCAAATGAACACTGAAATAATTACAGAGAAAAATTCCAAGTATAGATTTTTAAACTAATCTAAATGCATCTGTGATAATTAGAGTCTCTGAGGTGGAAAAAGCCACTGATTTTTCTCCACTATGCATATATGTATTATATCTATGTGTCTTTTCAGTTTGATAAAAGAGCTGAGTTATAAATAAAAACCTTATAAGTTTCCTCAGGATGCCAGCACACACTCATTCCAGGGGAACGAAGAACAAAATGAGCTGTTTGTATTCCATCCAAGTTCCAAATCCTAGTAAGAGAATAGGAATATAACGTTAAATATTCCTGCTATATATTGCTACTAAAATAAATAAAAGATATTTTCAAGAATTTATTCAAAGTTATTAACTACAGATGATAAGGGTGACATTTGTATTTAAGATATATCTTTAAAAAAAATACCACTTCAGGGTTGTCGGGAAAGTCATGACGCATTTTTGGCATAGGAAAACATAGAAAACTATGCCATGACTTTCCCAACGACCTAATAGTAAGTGGATTTTAAGTTTTGCCATACTAAATTATGAGGGAAAAAAAGTTACATATTCTTTCTAATGTAACACAGAAACTAAATTAAATTATTTACATATTCTTTATTTTGTAGGCAAAATCTTGGAAGTTTCTAGGTCAGGTTCCATTTCTACTTCAAGAGTCATTTTTTGAACTATAATTCTTATCATGGATGTGTTTAAACAGATAATATACACACACGCTCCCATTTTAAAAATAACATATACAGAAGCTAATCTTAAATGATAGGAATTTAGGGACACATTTTCCATTTGCTTCTTCCTTCTTTTAGTCTCCATCCCAGTGGTCACTTCCTATCTTAGTATGTTTCTGATTTGGCTCACTTCTCCAGCTTTTTCTCCGAAAGGCAGCCCTGTTTGACAGCTACCAGACTAAAGGTAGGTTGAAGGAATAGGCACTTGGTTCCTCCAACCCGCTCTCTTCCACAGGCACAAATTCATATGAACAAGGAGCATGCTGCTCACTGACATGGCTTTCCACCTCAATTGTCTTTCTGTCTCCAAAGGAGAATCAATATTAAGAAGACTCAGTCATGCACTGTGTTATGAAAATTGCTACCCCTCACCAGAACTGCTTATTTTTCAGCTCATTCTTCACACTCAGCTACTGTAGCATAGCGCTGGCACAGAGTGCGGTATGGTTACAATGGCAAGAAATAAAACTTGGTAGGTAGTTGGCAAAATATTCATAAAATTCTGGTCCTTACGGACTAGATGCATTCATTTGAATGCCTTGGTCTTTTTCTTTCAGGTTCTATAGTTCATATCTCATTAGGGACCAGAAAACAATTTCAATAAACTTCAGGGATATTTCTTCAACATCTAAGCAAAACTTGATTTCAAAGAAAGTAGATGTGTTTATTGAACAATGCTACTATACTGTGCCAAGCCACATTACTTTAAATGTTCTTTATTTGTAGAAGTTATAGGGTCTCAAATCTTAAAATATTGTCATTACGTATTAACACAATTCACAATGATTACCAAGTTGATGAAATTATTTAAAAAATACTCTTTTCTCTTGCCAAATCAACACTTTTCATCTGTATTTACTATACAAGAAAGACAGTTACAATTTAAATGAAGAGGGGAGTCACTTTTACCAAGGGCTTAGCTTATGCAATTGTGTTTTACTCCCCACAATAAATGACCTAATTATGGCAACTGAATATTTCTTTCTTCTCTACTGCTTTTCTCATCATAAGTGTTAAGCTATGATATATTTTACCACTACTGAAATAGTGAGAATTTGTCTTGAAAAGTCAGTGAATCCCATGACAGGATGGTTTAAAAACCTCCATTCTTTTGATCTTATTCTAATATGTATTTGATTTTTTGTCAGCTATCACATAAATTGAACAAATACATACCAGAATGTATTCATGACTGTTTTCTTTCAAATGAAAGGAACATAAAAGTTGGAAAATCTGGTTAAAATATTATAAAACAGCTGAATTAATGAAGTATATTCCAGTACAATGAACCAAATTTTCACCTAATTTTTAGATGTATTTTATCCTGACTGAACAGAGCTTGACACTTTTTCTAATAAGTTGACTTAAAAATGAGAAGTGATTCAGATGACTTTTAAGGGACTAAGATAAAATATTTTATGGTTTCTAATTATGTCTTTATTCAATAATTCTCAGTGGTTGTATAATCTAGATACTAAGTATTCAAGATACACCAAATTGGGCTGAGATGTGTGTTCTAACCGAATTAGCTACAGATGGTACAACTGAAGTTGTTAAGTCTTATTTCCCTTTTTGACAGTCAGTAATTAAGCCCTTTACAAATCTTTTTGGAGAGCCCAAATCATTTATGTTTTTATTTCATGGTTCATGTAGTTAATATTAGTTCCATTACACAGTCACATTTTTTTTCTTTTTTTTTTCTTTTTGTAATTTCTTGAAGTATACTGTATATAATAAAAATACACAGTTTTTTTTTTAAAGAGAGATTATTACTAGAGGGTGTGTGCAATCACCGGAGATACGGGGTGGGCGGGGGCGGGGGGGGACAGAAATCGCCCCTTGGGGGCATGGCCACAACACAATCCCTTCTCCATTCTCTTCTTGGGATTTTGGGCACACATGCACATGCACCTGGTGTGAGTTTTAAGACACCAGGTCTGGGATGCAAACCACAGTCAACTATGTGGGAGTCCAGTGATGTAACCATTATGCCATTTGCTGGTCCCAAAACACACAAATCTTAAGAGTACAATTCAAAGAAAACACACTCAAAGAAAACAATACCCAAATCAAGAGAGTACAGTCATGTATCACTTAACAACAAAGACACATTCTGATAAAGGCATTGTTAGGTGATTTTGACACTGTGTAAACATCATAGAGTGTACTCACACAAATCTAGATGTTATACCCTACTACATCCAGGCTCTATGTACAATCTTATGGGACCACTGTTGCATATTTGTGCTTGTGGTGACTGAAACGTTATGTGGCCCATGACTGCATTTCTAGAACTCCAGAAATCATCTAGTGCTTCCTTCCAGTCATTTTTCTTATAAAGGTACCCATTATCCTGATGTCTAATATCACAGCTTACTTTGCCTGTTTTTGAACATTAGGTTCATGTGTTATGTATTATTTTTGGTTTGATTTCTTTTCCTCATCATTTGGTTTTCTGAGATTCCCGAACATTGTTGCATGTCATAATTTGTTCATTCTTGTTGCTGTATATAGTATGCCATTAATTAAATACACCACAACATATTTATCCATTCTACTGATGACAGACATGTAGGTTGCTTCCAATTTTTGGTCATTAATAAAAATGCTGCTATAAACCTTCTTACACGTCTTTTAGTGAATATAGATATGCACTTAATATCCTTGCCCACTTACATACCCTGATCTGAATTGGACATTATATCACACAAGTAGTTTTGAATAGAGTGAAACAAGGTGGCGTGAGTATGTTGGATATGGCAACACATCCCACCCTAGCTCCAATAATTTTTGACGGGTGATCAAACTTTGGTATGGTCTTGCATTGTCGTGATGGAACAACAGTCCTTTATGATCAACGAGCTCTGGATATTTCAGGATGATGGATTTGTTCGAACTATCTAACTAACAACAGTACACATTTGAAACAATTGTTTGGTTCCTTGGTATGTGCTAGAAAAACACAACATTTTTAAAATCCCACCACACTGAGGGCATAATCTTTCTCTGATAAATGTCTGCTTTCAATGTTGTTTGAAGCGAATCATCATGTTGGGGCCAAGAACATTTGTGTACTACGTTCTAAACAATCCATTTCTCATCACCAGTTTTCAGTCGCTTCAAAAAAGGATCATTTTTCTCATGTTTAATGAGCATATCACAAGATGTTTATATGTGCCATCAAATGAACTTCTTTGAATTCATGAAGAACCCAAATATTGAGCTTGCTTATGTATCCCAGCTTCTTCAGGTGGTTGTGAATGCTTGAATGATGGATGTTCAATGTTTCTGCAATCTCTTGTATTGTGTAACGTGGTTTTGATTTGATCAATGCCTTTATCTTGTCATCATCAACCTCGGTGGGCCTCTTTGACTGAGGAGCATCGTTGAGATCAAAATCACCAGCGCAGAATTTCATGAACCATCGTTAGCACCAATGTTCTTGTAGAACATTGTCACCATAAACTTTATGCAACTGTTCACAAACTCGATGTGCTTTCTTCTCTTTATGGAAGTAAAACAGTAAAATGTGACAGAAATGCAGTTTGGTTTCTCATTTTCAGCTTGTCGCAAAAGCTCCAAAACTCAACAAAATCGCTAATTTTTTTTTTTTTTAAGAATGAAGCTAGAACTGTCAGCTGTCAAATGACATAGCAATAACACAGACTCTAGTACTTCCAAAAATGAACTAGTGCCATCTGTTGCAAAAATGTGTCATGACTTTTCTGACAACTCAATAAAATTACCTACAAGTCAGTTATAACCAGAGAAGTATACCTTTCAGTAAAGTGGTACATCACAGAAAGAGGAAAGCTTTAAGGGTTCACCTTCTTAATTTCACATCCTTCTTCATTAACAATTGCATATACTTTAATTTCAGTAGCTTATTGCTAAAATTATCACCTCATTTTGGGCTGAGTGCTTTTCAGCAGAACATTAAATACCCTCGCCATATGGTATTTCAATGTAATTATCCCATTTAATTAATAAAAAGATCCCATAAGTTGAGTGTTGGCATATTGAGGATATCCTAGATTATATGGGTCTTTTAAATGGAAAATTAGTGGAGGGAGATGTTCTGTCTGAGGAATAAAAAAGAAATTTCCTGGGTAATACTCTGTTCTTTGTATTTGTTTGTTCTCCATTTTTAACTGCCAATTCACTGTTTGCTTGGGAGTTCACTATAGAAGGAAATTTCTGCTACCAAATGTTTTTGACAACATAGACAAAAGAAGGCATGGATGCCATTAAATAACACATCTGTATCCATTTGGCCCTCTCTGACCAATAAAGTAGAAAATACAAACCACAATCCTTCTGGATCACATGAATCAAGTGTACTGATTCAATATGAAAGAAAGAACAAAAGTAATACCCAGATGGAGTAAATAAGATGAGAAGGCGCTTTATATTGTCATTGGGTGCAGAAAAGGGACCTCCAACATCCTTAGACAAGAAATACATTTTTTACTGAGGCTGCGATAGCAAAATGAGAGCTTTTCTTCTTATTTTCACACAATCTAACA